AGCATCCGCAAGTGCCAAAGAAACCTACACCATGATTGGAGAACTCATTAAACAGGCAACACCTCAACTTAAGCCGCGATATTTGGCGTGTTCGAAAAGTTATGGTGATGCCATCCGTGACCTTGACGATGCCAAGCAACATTTGAGCTCTGGTAAAAGCCTCAATGGTCAAGCATCGACTGTCCTGAATGTCGTTGAAGAATGCAGCGATGGGTTAGAAGTACCACCCGCTGACCCAACTCAACTTCGGCAAAAGAATAAAAATTTTGAAGATCTATGTAGTATCATTTTGACGATCTCTAATCATATCTCTGTATTTTGATTACTATCAGTTTATTGTATGCCTCGTGACACTGCTATCGAGATTTTATTATATCTACTTAAAAAATGTTAAAAAAAAAAAACACTATGGATATTTAAAACTATTTATCACAAAGGAATTTTTTTTTTTTTTGGGGGGAGGGATTTTTTTTGTATTGGTCTCCATAAATTTGGTGTTGCTTCTCTTTATTATTGCCTTCAATATAATATTGTTACAAATCTTTAATTAAATGTATTAAGTGAAAAATAAACATTAGTTAGAGTTGATTTCTCAATAAAAGCAACATTAATTCTGAAAGAAACAGCACACAAGCTATTACAGTAATACCTATAAGAGTCCCCATTGCATCATCCAAATTTCGTACCAAGTGGGAAAGAATACAAGCCAAAAAAAAAAAAGATAGAAATATAGAAATGGCCTCCTCTAATGCTATGTTGCTTTCTCTTGTCCTTGTGTTTGTCTTCATCGGTCCCTCTTTGGCAAGGCCTTATTACCATGGCTACAGAACCGTTGAGCTGAGGACGATATGCGATGCCACCATAAATCCTCAATATTGCTGGGATAATTTGAGTCCAGATTTCTCTTCCATTCAAAATAATATATGTCATGTTAATTAGATGGTCTATTTCATATATATACACAAAATTTTTAGTCTGTATTGAATCCAGTTCATTACAGGTTTAGTGACTACGACTTCTCCTGAAAATATAATTAGACTAATTACCGACTCTCTGAACACCAAAAAGATTCAACCACAAATAACAAATATATGACAAGAACACAATCACACCAAAAAAACCCAAGAATTTTATCTACTGACAATAAATCACTGTCAGTTCAATGGGAGAACGCAAAAGTCAATGACAATAACCACAAGGCGACATTCAATGGGATGTCCCACCCGCCACAGCGTATAACCACAAACAGAAGACTTGCTCTAAATGTCTCCTGTTCAGATTGTTGGAAAAATTAAAAGAGCCTTTGGGTTTTTCTTGGCCATTGCTCGGGTGGTGTAACATGTGCAGTGCAGACCCTGTTATATGAGCACAAGTAAGAGAACGACCTGCACCAATGCTAGATTTAAATTATGATAATTACGTGGTGTTTAAAATGCTCTAGAATTTTGTATCACTATTTTTCCATTGACTTGGATTATAAATATTTATATGACTATAATGACTTATTTTATTAAGATTTTGATTGTCTTCTATTTAATTATCTTTTATTTCACTATTTTCTTTTTCAATATTTTCTATTTCATTATCCTCTATTTTCTTATCATTTATTTCAATATTTTTTTATTTCATTATCTTCTATTTTATTATATTTTATTTCATTATTTTCTATTTCAATATTTTTTATTTTATTCTATTTTATTGCATTATCTACTTGTTCATTTTCAAAATTTTCATCTAAATTTTTTGTTACATTACTTTTGTTACAAGCAACCAATTTTTCAAGAGATCATTTTTGAGATTCTATTAGTTGGTCCATTTTTTTTTTAATTTTTCGTATCTACTTGATTCTCTTCTAGGTGCCATATTATTAATATATTATAATTATATAACAACCAAACAAACACAATATATAGTATAGTTAAAATATATAATACAACCTTGAATTTAAGACATATTGGGCTTTGGACCTAAATGATTGGTTGAGCTTATATTTTATAAAGCCTTTTTTATATGGGTTATTTATGGTATTTAAAAATGAGAATTTTGGAGGCCGATTCTCCTGTATGTACTTGTTTGGACTTAAGTCTGCCAAATAAACTTATTTATTATGAAATCTATTTTTTGTCTATTTTACCAAACTATCCATTCTCTTTAAAAGTGAAGTAAAATTAAAAATTAAAAACTCATAAATTTTAAGAGTTTGACTAACATTAAAAAATTTTCTCTCTCATATCTATCTATATCCATAGGTTAAAATTATATCTCTTATATATATATATATATATATATAGTAACATTAAAAATAAAATAGTAACATTTGTATACACAAAAAAAGAGTTACCATTTAAACACAAAAAATAATACCATTTAAACACAAAAAAAAAATAGTAATATTTAAACATAACAAAATAGCAACATTTAAACATAAAAAAATAGTAACATGTTCATTCAATATTAATATTTTAAAAAAATAATAATAGTAACATGTTCAACAAAAAATAGTAATATTTTCAACAAAAATAGTAACATACTTAACAAAAACAGTAACATGCTTAACAAAAATAGTAACATACTTCATAAAAAAGAGAGTAGTATGGAACATTGAACAAAATTGAAAGTAAAAATAGCAGCATTTTAACCCATAACCAGAAGAAGAAGCCTCCAAGTTTTCAAATTTTTCATTGTTTTTTGCATTCCTAATTTTAATATGCGATTTATTGTTACTAAATTAAATGATTTAGGTTTCAATTTTTTGGATCTTTTGTTATACAATACAATCGAAAAATGTTTGATTGCGTCACTTGTGGGAAAAAGTTGATGTTACTATAAAGAAAAAAAGGAAATTATTTTTACATATTCGATGTGTTGACATTCACAAGTGGTGATGAGTGTCCAAATTCAACTGACGATTATATGTTACTACTCTAAATAATGTAATTTTTTGATTTGTGGACTGTATTTTGTGAAAAGTAAACGAAAATTATTGTTACTGTGAAGGAAAAAAAATATTTCATTGATGTTACTGTGTAAAAAAATATCTTGCTAATGTAACTATGCAACATATATCCTCATGAGTTTTCTTAAAGTCGTTGTGTTACTGTGCATAACAATTTGATGTTACTGTATGAAAAAAAATAGTTGTTACATTATGGTTTGCAATTGTTATTGTAAAGGTTTACATTTGTTATTGAATGAGAGAGAGAGAGAGAGAGAGAGAGAGAGAGAGAGAGAGAGAGAGTATAAATTTCAATTTTAATTTATGAGTAAATTAAAAAATAATAATTTCTAATTTAAGAAATTAATTTAAAACTACTTTCAAGGTCTTCAAGGTTTCTATAATTGAACACAATAATACTGAAAGATATATTTGAAATTTTAAAAAATAGTGGACTTAAGTACTTATTAGTAAGATAAAAAATGAATTTATCACAAAATCAGTTTCCTTGACAAACTCAAGTCATTATAAGTGTATCTAGGAGGATTCAATCTCAAATTTCACTTTAAAAGTTAAGGGTTTTCTTTGAGACGGGCCTAAAGCCCAAACTTTTTAAAATATGTTGTTGGACGGGCCTGGTAAGTTGACATGATTGAACACTGGTTACCTTTCACACGACATACATTAATGCAATTAGATATGTCGATATGGCATGGTTTTTGTCATGTTTATGTACTTTGGGTTCTCTAATAAATTAGAATTTTCAGGTATGAAACAAGAATGAACAAATTGTGAAGGCAATTCAATTGGCACACAATAAATCAAGGGAACTACCAATATAATTTGAGAAGATTTCATTATACGCTACAAGGAGTAGACAACGGGTGTTTGAAACAAGAATGAACAAATTTAAGTCTTGAGATGTTGCCAGACAAAATAAAAAGAGAGAAAGATCGAGAGAGAGGAAGAGAAACATGTAGGGATGGAAGATGATTGCTATGGAAGTCGAAGAAACGAGGGACCCCACCCCTCTCGGTCGATGTTGCAGTCTTGCAGACTCTTCCCTTGTCATTGAAATGGAAAAATCTATCTACTACTTTAAAAACAGAGGCATGTAGAACTTGCTTTTTTGAAAAAGAAGAGCTCAGATTGCATGGCATTGCATGTCAACAAGAGGTTATAGATGAATCCTAAAACTTCACCATTGAATCACTCAGATTAATGAGCTTTTTCATTAAGCATCTCCCATTGCTATAAGCATTCATGTTAATCGAAGCAAAAGATGCTCTGATTCTCACAACTCAAACTAATGACAGATATCGACAAGCGAAATTACCATGGATAGATGCTGTAAGGGGTAGAGAGCCCCAGTAGCCTTTACCTCTCTTCGCTAATAGGATTATTTTCTAAGGCAATCCCACATTGAAAGAGAGTCGTCTCCCCCCTACCATATAAGTAAAGAGTCGTTCCCCTCTATCATATAAGTAAACACTTCCTATGGAGAAGGTACCACTAGCCATTTGATCAGGTCGCTAGTGGGTACCTCCTCCTTTGAATGCAAGGGCTTATATGCGAGGGGAGAGAGATGACTTTCAGTCGATGTGGGATGAAACTCTTGCGGGCACTGAGAGGTAAAGACTACTGGGGGGTCGCCCGTGTGGGTTAACCCAAGTAAAGCCGAAATCCTTAATAGAGGGTTCTACCCCTTACAGAAAGACGTCTTTCTGTAAGGGGTAGAAATCGCTACAGAATTTCAGCCCTCCACTCGAAGGATTCCAGCCGACCTGACGGCACTGAGCCCAATAGTCTTTACCTCTCTTCACCAATAGAACCTTTTCTTAAGGCAATCCACATCGGAAGAGAGTCGTCTCCCCCCTGTCATATAAGTGAACACTTCCTATGGAGGAGGTACCAATTATGGCATTCTTGACACCTTCTATGGAGGAAGAGGTATCTCAACAAAGGAGCAGATGAATTAATCCCCACATATTTCTTTGGTGGCTTGCTGCCATTTGTTTCATGGCTTTCCAACATCTATTTTTCATGCTTGCCTTGGTCTATTCAGGGCTGTTCTCTTTGCTGCAAGTTTCAGCTGCAGTATCCCTAGAACCGATGCTGGCTTCTACATATCGTTGAGGGGTGATGGTGAAGTCATGCAAACACAAGATCTCCAGGTTGAAGGGGCTTGCTTGATCATGGTGCCTATTGGGGAATATTCTTGCTGTGCAGCTTGTGCCACCATGTTGCTTTAGCGCCATGCCTATTGTTTACAGCCCCAACCAAATTGCGGCTTGGGATTCATTGCGGAGAACTATAAGTTTTTAAATACTACGATTGTTGTCGTGGAATGGATATATATTATAGTCTCCTCCAATGGTTGCATCATTTTTTTCCCCATCTTTCTTTTTAGCAAAAATGCTCTGACATGTGCTTTCAAATGGTTTCACTGCGGCAGACAAGACAACGTAAACAAACAGCAAAAACATTGATTTCTTAGCTCAACCTTTAAGCAAACAATATTCTCTCGGAATCATAAATTATGTAGAGATTGATTTCTAGTAACTGATTCCTTCCACGAATTGTTTGTACCACAAAGGAAGTAGAGAATGGATTCTTGTTCCTTGGACAAACAAACAATCCACCTTTTTAAGAAAAGTATAACTCCTTTAAGAGCTTTGGAATTAAAGCTTTATTTATTTCATCCATAAAAAGCATGTTAGCCAATCTGATGTTTTCATTGTTTTAATCTATTCTAGGCGGGCGGTACATTCCTACCTACCTTAGCGACTTTATTTCCATGGCAGATCTCTTTGGCGACCAAGATGGTACATACGGGCTCCTCTATCTCTCTGCTGTATAAAGTGTATTCTTGAAAGCTTTTATTACATTTGCATGAAGAACTAGTACTAGAGCATGCATGTGTTGTTTTCTCATGAAATCATTTCTGTGGAATCAAACCATTACATTTATTACAAGAACTTTGTTATGGTGAGCAGAGCAAGCTAATCTACGTATTTTCTAATGCTCCTCTAGTTTTAATCCACTATATATTATGCTTTAAATACAATTGAGTGGAAATAGTTATGCATATTTTATGTATGTGAATAGTACATACATCACTGCGACGTGACATGCATGATTTCCAGAGTTCTTGTGAGTACAATTCTAATACCAAATGCTACACCCTCATTTTGAATTTTAATGTTTTATGTTATCAATATGATCATTCGCAATGAATTGGTTCTTCTAAAGGTACAAAGGCAATATATAAAATCTTCCAAAATGATGGTCCTGCCCAATTAACAGAAAGCAAAGAATGATGACGACTTTGAAGGCAAATGACACGACAATATACAAATATTGTTAAAATTCGTAAGGTATAATCTACAATATAACAGTTACATTAGGATCAAATCTTTTAAAAAGATTGCCAGTGGACAAACAAAATGAAAAAAAAAAGAAAAAGAGGGGACGATCCATAAATGGTGCTTGAACCTCTACGTATGGAATTTTTTGGCTTGCATTGGTGCCAGCAAAATCACCACAAAAATGCTAATCCTTTCTTCATGTGTAGCATGCGAGCCTCACCTGTATACTAAGAGGATGTCCCATCAGATTTTGGCCTTGTGTACCCTAGATTGATTAACTTCTGCACCAGTTTTTTCTCAGCATTTGCCTGAAAGCCCCAATGAAAACTTAGGAGAAAATATGGATCAAAAGCTGGGAAATAGAACCAACAGGCTGAATCATCTGGCAACTATATAAGGGGGAGAGAGAGAGAGAGATTAAACCTCAAGCATGGGGCTATTCTTTGGAATGTTGGAACCCTCTATTACATTAAGACCAGTCTTTAATGCTGTGAAAAAAGGTCGCATATCAGCTCACGGATCTGAAGAAATATTCCAAAAAGATTCATTGTGTATTGAGAATTTACCTAATCGACGAGCAATACCAGAAGCCCCGGTATTATCAGAAGCCCCTCCAAAGAGGGGCATAACACTCGCTGTTTTGTTCTGGGCACCACCAAATAGTAAGATCAACTTAGCATTTGCAGTATGGAATATGAGTGAACATATTAGATTATGGGCCTAAATGATTGATTGAGCTTATATTTTTATAAGATTTTTTTTACATGAGTTGTTTATGATATTTAAAAATTCGAGACATTTCTTTGAAACGGGGCTTACTGCCTTAGTTTTTTTAAATATGCTGTCGGGCCGGCCGCAACTATTTCGAGTGGCAACAATACTATTATTACGTAACACCTCAAGAAAAAGTCCAGCCCAGACTAATGCCAGGACAAGACAATATTGCAGCTTGTCAAAATATTTTTTTCTTAGTAAAAATTTTTAAAATACTGTTTTTTTCTTAATTTGATCACTAGATTTTTGAAATATTAAATATAAATTTGATGACAGCGATATCTATCACCTTTCAGAAGGCCACATCACGCTCAGGGAATATACAACCATAATAGCCAAATATTTTAGTATATGAGTCGCAACAGCCGCATAGTTGTAAAAACCGGCCTAGACATCAACTCGACAAAGGAATTAAGTCAATGGTCTATTAATTCAACCGCCGGGTCACTGGTCGAACCGATTAAATAATAAAAAATCAAAATAATTATAAATAGGTTAAAAAATTACAATAATTATGAAAATAGCATACTTAATGTAAATTAGATCAAACAAAACCCCAAAATCATTAAACCAGTATCCAATATCAAATAATTAAGTTCTTCCAATTTCAAAGTTCCAACACCTAATAGTATAACATGCCTGCCTGTACAATAGTTGAACCAAAAAAAATCAAAGAATCAACAACTTCCTCCTAAATACTTTGCACCCTTGTTGATCATGCAACAACAACATCCTTCCCTGCAAAGGAATATTCAACAGAGGGGAAAAATCAGCAGAACCCCCATTCTGCACAACCTAATTAGCAAAAAAATCAGCCAAATAATTGGCTTCCCTATACACATGAATCAGGCTGAAATTCATTATGTACAGGAGTCCCTTAAACTGCCTCAACAAACCCCAATATTTCCATGCCCTCAAATGCCCTTTCATAACCGTACCAACCATCACCTCTTCATCCGCCTCTAATCTGCACAATAAAGGCTTATTTCTATAAGAACCCAGATTGATCAGAAGATATTCTCTGATGAATATGGAAGCAGAACTTCACCAAAACCAAACCCACCAACTCACCAAGAACTGAAGACCTCACCCCTACCCAAAACAGTTACAACTAGCGCAATGAGAAGTCAACCAACAACTACCAACCAAGCAACCTCATATAGGAGAGAGAGAGAGAGAGAGAGAGAGAGAGAGAGACAGAGAGAGAGAAACTTAATACCTGAGATGAGAGAGAAGGATGAAGATCTGGCCTGTGAGCCGAAGTCTCGAAGATCTAATATTTGAGTCTTCAGAAGAACTGATTCGAAGAGATGAATGGATCTGAATTTTGAGTACTTCAATTTCGATATTCGATACTCGATAGTTCGATTGAGTTGGATGATCAGTGATGTGCTATTGAGGCCTAAGCCGAGTATAGAGCGAGCATAGAGGGAGAGAGAGAGATCGTCACTCGCGAAGAACTAGAGCAGAAGGCAATCGTCGTTGAATCAGAGAAGAGGGCAAAGAAATAAAATTTTGGGCAAAAATGCCCTAGAACTTCATTTTTATCGCTATCAAATTAAACCGTCTGATTTGATCCAAATCGAACGGGTCAGTGACTTTATTACAAAACTGGCCGGTTCAGCAGGTTCTTACCAGTTCTTTTGCTCGAACAATCTGATAACTTAATCGGCCCGGTTCAAGATCCAGTTTACTGGGTCAATCCGTCAAGTCGAGCCGGGTTTTAAAACATTGGCCTCTAGAGAAAGCACACTGATTACGCTAGGAGGCCATTGGTTACGAAACGATCGCAAAAATCAGGCAAGGCAATCATGTAGGGCAACTGTACACTATAAATGGAGGACAAATCCCTCAAATTTTTAATCAAGCAGTCATCTGTGCATTTATTCTGTGGAATCACCTTCTCCTCAATTAATAGAGAATTTTTCAAGAGCAAAAGATTCCATTAAAATAGATTAATTAAACTGTCGAGCTACTGAACTACTATAAATTATCTGTCTATTCACCTTCATCCTTGGTCATCTTATAGCTTAACTCCCATGAGCCCAGAAGATCTGACTAGATATCCCAATGATTCTCAAATCTCCAAACAATTCACCTCTACTCAGCTATGTAGAACACACCATCAAAATTAAATTTTTAATTCAATTTTTGTGCATGGAAGCTCTGTTAATATAATTCGGAGATCAAATATAAATAAATCTGCTATTTATTAATTTTATTTCAATAAAGAAATGGAAGATTTTGGGAGGGATGAATCTAAGAACTTGTTTGTTCTGAATTATTCCAAAAGAAATTGGATGTTGTTGAAGATAGCATAAAGAAAACTCCATGTTTAAGAGAGAAAACTTTGCAAACCAGCCATTATTACCGTTAACTCTGAGCAATAAGCTATTCATATACAATTTATTTTTTAGTTAATCTAAAGGGATAGTTCAAGTGGAGATAGAGACGAGTTGTGTAAACTCAAACGCTCTAAGTTCTAAACTTGACAATCCCTTTCAGCGCACCCAATAACTTGGCTGAAGAGGCGACCGCTTTAGACCCCATCTAAAATGATGGCCCCATTTTTTATGAGTCTTCAGTATGATCCAAACTAAAACATTAAACTCAAATAAAATTGAGTTCGAGCAAAAAGGTCCTATGTACTTTAAACTAACAAAAATGAGCCCAAAAAAGCCTGAAAGTGTTTGTGGCATAGCAAAAGTAAAAGGCTCACAACCCATTTAGTTAAAAACATGAAATTTTAGGAGTAATTTAGAAGTCGGTACAAAAAATTTAGACTTATTTTAGCTAAATTAGATTAAGATAACTTATTTAGCCATAAGTGCATTTTTTTGAACAAAGACTAAAAGGGTATTTCTTACTCCATTACTCTGTCTCGTTCTCTCTCTCTGCATTACTCTTTCACTCTCTCTTCCATATTTTTCTCTCTGTCTATTTCTCTCATATTGATAATTATTTTTAAAATATGTAAGATTTGTCTTAATTTTTTTCATCTCTCTTCCCTTATTTCTCTCTCCTTCTCCACTTATTTCATTATTCTCTCCCTTTTTCTTTCTCTTTATATCAATGTCACACAACAAAAATTTTTTTTTTCTAAAGCCACC